CATATTCTTCTGAGTGGCGTCGACCATGATTGTGAGATCATCTGCGAACAAAGAGCAGACCGGGATCGCCTCCTCCGGGATGCCGGCTACCCGGATTCTCGCCAGATCTTTGCTCTGTCGAAGGTTGGCTGCCAGTGCTTCCATTATGATGATGAAAAGGAAGGGGGCAATGGGGTCACCCTGTCTCACCGAGCGTTGCAGTTTTATTTCAGGAGCCAGAGACCCATTGATCTGCACCCTCGTAGTTGCGTTTTGGTGTAGAATAGCCACCCACCTCCTAAAGTTCATTCCAAAATTTAGTTTGTCGAGACATTGGTCCAAAAACAGCCAGTCAACATGGTCGTAAGCTTTTTCAAAGTCAATGAAGATGAAAGCTGCATTGCTCTTGGATTGATGTGCCAGGCTAATCATCTCGTTGACCAGCAATATGTTTTCCTGGATGTTTCTATTGCGAATGAACCCAGTTTGAGCCGGGTGGATGAGATCCTCGATCACCTCAATTATTCTATTGGCCAAAGCTTTTGACAGCATCTTGTAGACCACCGTCAAAAGAGTGATAGGCCTGTAGTTCCGGATGGAGGCCACTGCAAGTTCTATGCCAAATTCCACAAGATCTCCACGCGACACCAGGAGCGCTACTGCTTAAAACAACCTAGAAGCCACCCATTCTTCCATGTGCTCCGAAAAAGCAGCATACAGGAATGACACCCACAGCAAACACTTTCTGAGCCTCCTCGAGATATTGTGGCCAAAACCCCAAACTCGCAACCCAGAGAAAACTTGTGGCCACCCACAGACAGTACTTCATTCACAAGACAGCCCATGCTGCAAAGCAGGGCAAAGAATTATGCCATGTATAAAAAACCAAACCAACAAAACACATCCATCCACAGAGAAAGAGTAGCTCTATAGTACAAGCCCGATCCTAACTGCTCAAATCTGCCGAGTGTGTGTGTGTGTGTGTGTGTGTGTGTGTGTGTGTGTGAGAGAGAGAGAGAGAGAGAGAGAGAGAGAGAGAGAGAGAGAGAGAGAGAGAGAGAGA